AAAGGCTGAGCGTGAGCGGGCCAAACGTGAAGAGGCGCGCAAGAAAGCTGAACAGTCTAAGGCTGAACAGGAACGACTCAACCGTGAAGAGGCGCGCAGGAAAGATGAGCAAAAGAAAGCCGAACAAGATCGCATCGCACGTGAGAACACTGAAAATGAGAAGGCCAAACAGGCAAAAGCTGAATATGATAAAGCTGAGCGTGACAAGAGCGAGAAAGAGCGCATCGTGCGCTTAAAAGCCAAGTTAAAGAAGGCTGAACTTGATCAGGCCGAGCTGGAGCGGATTGCACGGGAGAAAGCCGAAAGTAGAAGTGATCACGCAAATTCAGAACAGAAACGGCCTGCAAGCGAAAAGGTCAAGCTTGACAAACCTGCGCTTGGAAAGGTTGCGCTTGAGAAGGCTGCGCCTGAGGACACTGAACGTGGAAAGGACCAACTCGATGATGCCGAACATCAAAGACTTGATCGCGAGAAGGCCGAGCGTGAAGAGACCAAACATGCACCTGAAGATGTGCATATGGAAGCTGACACGCCCAAGCCAGTTCCTGGGGGTGGAAATACAGACCAGGGGAGAGTAAGAGACGGGAGGACGGAGCCAGTGATGCCCAACCAACTTCCAACCTGGGTGACTCAAAACCAGAGCTCGATGGTGCAGCGCTCCGATTACGAAATCTCGTGGACAGGAGGCTTGAGATGCAGAAAAAGGCCGAGGAGTATGGTGAAGAGGCACGACGTCTGGATGAGAAAATCAAAGAATTGATTTGTTTGAGAGACGTAAATGTGAAGTTGAGAGAGCAGGAGCTTGAGATGGTCAAAAAAAACGGTTGAAGCAGAGCTGCGGAAGCAAATTTTCGTCGAAAAGGTGAAACTGGCAAAAGATCAGGCGGAATGGGAAGAAGTCCAAAAAAAACAAGAGGCGAAAAGACAGTCACAAGATGAGAGGAGACGGCTGTTTGAGGAGGTGGAGTCGCAGTTCAACGCTGATACATCTCTCGGTTGGGCTCCAACCGCCGACAGTAAGATCCCAGGAGCTCCAGAGGTATGTTTTCCCGGCGATTGAATATTGTTGGCATCTCTTAACTCATCGATTAGGATCATGGCCTGCAACATCCCGCTTTAGGACATCCACCCGAACAGGACCAATATCCGGCATTTCAGAGCCCTGCTGAAGTGCCTGCGGTTGGACACCCACAAACCGGCACCAGCGTACCTCCCGGCCTGTCCGCTCCACGAGCGTTACAACAAGGGCGTCAAGGGCTTACAGCGATGCCGGCATCAGGATTGGCCAACAATTACCAAACATCGTCATATCAAACTTGCACTGGCTTCCAAGGACAGATGCACGGGTCCCAACCTCAATCAAGCCCGTATATACCTCAACCACAGTTCACCCCATTTCAAGGGCCAACACCTATGCCGGCATCAGGATCGGCGAACACCTACCAAACACCGTCGTATCAAAGTGGCTACCCATTACAAACGTACGCGCCTCAACCGCAGGAGAATGCACTCCAGCCAGGCCCATACATACCTCAGTCACCTCATCCAGGCTCGTTCATACCTCAATCACCCCAGCCAGGCCCGTACATACCCCAGCCACCCCAGCCAGGCCCATACACACCTCAGTCACCCCATCCAGGCTCGTTCGTACCTCAACCACCCCAGCCAGGCCCGTACATACCTCAACCGCCTCACCCAGACCCGTCTATACCTCAATTAGGTCGGCCAGGGCTGTATAGCCCTCCGTCTCGGTTCAACCAGTCTCAACGACCTTCGTGGCAACAAGAGGAACCTATATATATCCACAACGATGTAGTTCCTGGCCCCCAAACTTTGGCTCCGATGCAACCTCAAGGAGCCATCCCTCAACAACTTCATGACCCCAGGAACCCAAGCACGTCACAAAACAGCCCGCCTCCGCCAGCGCTGAATCTACAGGGTTTGAGCCCCCACCAGAACAGGATGGTGGAGATTTTCAAGAAGGATAGCGAGCATGGAAAACAGGCCGCTTCGCAGGCTGCGGCCCCTCAAGGAGATAATGTGCCACCTCCAGAGCTTCCACTTCCGACTGCCCAGGAGGAGTCCGAGGCGTCCGAAGAGAGTAAGACGTCGGCAGATGAAACCGCTGGTCAAACTGAAGCTGTTCCTGACGC